AAAAAAAAGTTTCTTGCATCTATTTATTGCAGCGAGGGTCTTGCAAAAACGTTGGGCTACTCTTCTGTAGCAGATCACCGGCTTGCTAATAAAATGGCAGCCTCACCCGAAACTGTTCGGAACTTTCTAAACGCGTTAGTTCTACACCTTCATTTCCAAACCATCTGCTTTTAAGCATTATTTGAAGGCTTACTCGTCGAATACGACCAGTTTTCATTGACCGAATGGAGTCATGGTCGGCATACGCGCAGATTAAGGAAATGATGTCAGGAGACCTCCAGGCCCACGACCTAGCTTACATATGTAGGAGAGAAGCTAAACTACACTACGAGTTAGTCTCTAATAATTGCGACTGTCTCTCTAATTTTCGATTCAGTGTGGATCCTCTTGACCTAATGAATCATTTCCCGTTCTGGCCTACCTTCCAAAATCTAACGCAGATTATCGGACATATATTTGGACTTAAGTTCAAGGTTTGTCTTTTTGCGTTTTGAACTTCTTTTCAACTGTAACCTTTTGCAGGACATCACTGAAACTGGACTAGAACGTGCCCATCAAGACGCCAAAATATTTTCTGTGAAAGATACCAGCACTGGCGAACATCTGGGGCGCCTTTACATAGATCCTTATGATAGAGAAAGTAAGCGAGGTGGATGGAATACTCTTCTAGGTCGAAGTAAGTTATCTTGTCTCTAGCTTTTTTCTTTGCTTGATGATTTTATCTTGCAATTCTCTCGTTCAGTTGCTATTTTTCTTCCGCAGAATCCTTGCTCGAATCAACGTGTAAACCTAGATTGTCGAAAATTACATAAAACGATTATTTTCGGTGTTTAAAAATGATTGATTGGGGGTCAATCAAGTTCGCTATTCACCAAAGTTTGCTGTGATCCAGTCAGGCCTTTTGCGAACGGAGCCTTGGTGGAGGTTCAGCTGGGTACGATCCCACCACACATGAAGCGTTGATGCAGCCGTTCTTGTTAATCCTTACAAATGACCTTTTTCGTCTTCTTTTTCTACTAATTCATTGTGTCTACTTTCTGAAAAGCTTGAATTGTACTGATATCAGTGACGACAGTTTATCTGATTCTGTAATTTCAGTGGAGTGTCGGACAAGAGGCTTAGACAAACTGGTTTATCTCGTAGGATCGGCTATAGCTCCCACAGAAAATGCACCGTCTTTATTACACCATCAACAGCTACAACAACTACTTTTCCATGTGAGTTTTTGAAATATTATCACCATCAACAACCGTAAAGTGATTTTCCAAGGTGGGTCGTGCTGTGCAAATGTTGCTTTCACGATCACCATATAGGGATATCGCAATCCCCTGGTCTCCTTTCTACGCCAGCGATTGGGACGCTATGGACATGTTTCCCGCCTTTTTACAGTTCTTCGTTTACAAGCCATCATTGCTTCAATCACTTAGCTCACCACATTTGGTAAGTATAAATTATGTGAAAATGTATCATGATAGGGAAATGTTTAGAAGAATGGTTCGACTATCTCCGACGAACATGCAAACAATGTCTGTTTGGCGTTGTCAAGGGCAACTCTTTGGGAATCTTATCGTTCACTTTTCTGGGCAGATTTTGATCTCACCATATTCGAAATGGAAGACAGAAAGTAGGGTTTTTGCCTTTGCTGGAGAGTTTGATATGCAAATATTAGCTCATACGTAGGCAAAAATTCTGGTTGGATCTGTATCGGGAAATGTCTAAGGAATATTTCCCTTTCAAAGCTGATAGGAATGACTACCATCCGTGCTCGTTTATTCCAATTTTCGGTCTGCAGCCTTATATGGGCATGTATTATCGAAAGTTGTGGACAGAGGTAATATTTTTCCCATCCTGAGCTTGGTAGTACGGTGTTTGAATCCAGATGTTGGCACTGGACATTCATGAGACCTTTGATTACGAAGATGATGTCGTCAAAACCGGTGAGCGTCTGAAAACAACCATTCTCGCGCGAGGATCAGGAGATGTAGCGAAAGAACTCTATCGAAGATTCCAGGTATTTCACGCTTCCTTGTTTGCTAGGAGAGTTTTACTGCTCAGTATTTTATATCCTCTAATTTTTTGTTCGACTGTTTTGCTGCTGGAAATTACCTATGTATAATAGCTCTGAGTGCTGCAGTTGAACTTCCTGCCATACAAAGCACTATGATAACTTGTACAAAGTAAATTTAAGTTGTTTAGGGTCGCGATCCCAGTGTTGGTGCTATATGTGATTTTTACGATCCGCCATCGTTCTACCACTTAGATAATGAGTCGGCTCTCGGACGTTGATCTTAGATATTTTAGATTAGGTATAGAATTGTTATAGTGCTGTATATAATAGTCCTTCAATAACTTGTACAGTCAGTCTAAGGATTCTCTATTTTATTTGCCCTACTTCCATGTTTGATTACCGGCTTCTTCATTTTCCCCCATTTATTGATGAGATACTGCCTCAATCCTTTTTTGTATAATCTGGTATATGATTTTATCGGAAATCCTCGTATGCCCATGTTTCTGATTGCTTGCTACAATGTATGACCATGTTTCTGATTGTTGATACTGTTGTTTTAGAGCGGGATGTCTTCTATTTCAAATGAATTACTATTATATACGTTACGTTGTATATCAATACGTTGGAGGCGTTTATATCGCTCTATACATTCTCTCACAATTGTGAAACACTAGGATATGTATGTTGGTGAATTTTCAAGGCTATGTCCAATACAACTGCCTCAGCAGGGGACGCGAAAGCACCAGAGACGACTATCGTTACAGAAGTGCCAGAAAGTTTGCATCGTGCTCTTCTAATGATGGTCAAGAACTTCTTCTCAAAGGTATTTTTGAATCTACACAAGTGTTTGTTAGGAACATCAATGAAGGACGAATTCCCTTGTTTTGGTGGATTTGCAAGCGAAGAGAAAATAAGAATAGCCTTATGCTCCATCACTCTTTTGCGGGGAGGGGGGGGGGAGGGGGTAGTGAGAAGCTGCGGATATGAAAAATTTTCATTCTCTTCTTCTTGTTATCACGTGATAGGTTCAACATCATGGCATCTCCCTTCCAAAGGAGAACTTCGCATG